ACCTATACGTGGAACCGTATATGTGGCACGCTCGGCGTAATGCAATATATGCGGCGCAGTCTGTATGGTGTTGATGACTTTGACGTTTTCGCGCGCGGCCACCTCCCATGTTCGCGCAGTCGTCCCGCCCACCCACCCGCAACTTCATTTGCAAAACCCATTCGGCGGCAATTGCGATGGCTGCTCGGCGCTGGCTGGTGCATCGCTGCGGTCGAACTAGCGCGCGCATGCTAGCGCGCCTTTCTGCGCGCTAGCATGCGCGCGCGCATGCTAGCGCGCAGAGCGGCCAGCTAATCTGGCGCGACCGACGCGGCTGCAGTGGCGCTGGCCGCTGGGCACTTCCCACCGCGTCTCACAGGCCGCGCTGGCGCGCAGGCGCATCAGCGCGAGTCGGTGACTCGGGCTGACGCGGAACCATGGTGGCGTGGATTCCGGCAAGCGCGATTATGATAGTAATGATGCGGGTGGCGATGATGAGAATGACGAAGGCAAGGACAATGACGGCGCCGATGCTGATCACGTCGATGAAGATGAAACCCCCGCGTCGCTGATGAAGGTTTTACAAAGATTTCGACATCCGCGCGGCGTCGGCGCGCGCGTGGCCCGCGCGGCGTTACTTGGCAGCGGTCGCGCCGCCCCCAACGCGCGCGCCACGCGCGCGCGCAAGAGGAAGGTGTGGTAAAATTTGAAGAACCCATTGAACATCCGATGGCTTTCTCGAGGATTCACAACGGCACGTGCGCCAGTTGTTTTGAAAACTCCTGCTGCGAAACCAATTGATGTTCAATGGTTTCGGGGCGCTCGCCTTTGAGATCCTCAGGGGGTCGAGCGCTTTGAAAGAGATCGGCATGCCCGCGCGGTCGACGCGCGCGCGTGCACTTCGTTCCTCTGTTGCAAGGGATTCTCGCGACATGCGACAGCGCGCGCGCGAAGGCGTTCGGATGATTTCGACATGCGCGCAATACAAACACATCGGTCGAATGCGATGACAACGTTAGGAAACGCACGCATGTCTTGTGAATTCGCAAGAGCGCTGGCGCAGGCTGCCTGCCGCGAAGCAACTGAATGTTTATATGTTTTCGGGGCGATCGACCTCGAAATCCTCACGGCAGATTGTTGTTTTGAAAGGTTTCGGGATGCGCGCAGGGCGACGCGCGCAGGCGCAAACATCGTCAGAAGTACTTCAAGGAGCTCTTGACAAAAATGTGAAGGTGAAAAAATGCGCACGCATGGTATTTGCTGCTGGGGGTTCGGGGGTCGATAGCGGCTGGATGGGATCGAATGACGTCATGCCCAGAACAGACGATGGGGCATGACACCTCCTGCAAACAATGATACTGTAAATATGTATTTGTATATGTATACGTATGGTGCGCTGTATGTTGCGCAACCTATGCCGTGCAACATATGTCGAGCAATATATGTTGTGCGGCCCATATTGCGCAAGTTATACGGTGCCATCTCTGTTGTGCAACGTATCGTGCGCGATCTACGTTGTGCAACCTGCGCGGCACACTTGATTTTGGCAAACGAGTTGGTACACCCCACGCTTTTGCAAACATCCCACCCACCCACCCGCAACTTGGTTTGCAAAAGCCAAGCGGTGGCGATTGCGATGCGTGCTCGGCGTTGGCCGATGCATCTCTGCGGCCGTGCCAACCCAAGCACGCGCGCTTAGCGGCCAGCTAGTTTGGCGCGGCCGACGCGGCCGCAGTTGCGCTGACCGCTGTGCGCATCCCAGAGGGCACTTCGCTGCGAGTCGGCGACTTGGGCGGGCGCGGGATCATGGCGACGTCGACAACGGTAGACACGAGAATGCTAGTAGCGATGTTCGTGGCGATGTTGACAACGACGAGCGCGCGGCCCGTGCGGCCACCGATGCTGATTACGCCGGTGACGATGACGGCGCCCTCGCGTCGGTTATGAAGGTTTCGGAAAAAGTTCGACATGCGCGCGCGGCCGACGCGCGAGTGGCCGGCGTCGTATTATTGGACGCGGATCGTGCCCCCTCAGCACACGCGCAAAGGCGCGCGAATGATGTCGGCATGCTGCGCGAGAGGCCCAGTTGGCAGAATTCCATGAACATGTTGATCAACAAATGGTTTTGTCAAGAATTCGCAAGAGCGCGAGCGCGCGCTGTTGTGCAAACTGATGTTGCGAAATCATGTGTTTTGCGTGTTTTAGACATTCGGTCTTGAAGTCGTGACGAAACCAAAGGTTCTTGACGTATTCCGACATACCCGCGCGACGACGCACGCGCGCGCTTCGTCCCATATTTGCCAAGGATTCTCGCGACGGCACGCGCGCAAGGCCGCCCGAACGATTTCGACGCGCGCGCGAAATCCGTTTAGAAGCATTTTTTGAACATGCTGAAACACCTACGGTATGCTCAATAATTCGCAAAGGACCTGCGAGCAACTTTTTTTGTTTGAAAACCCGTGTTGCGAAACCCTGTGCTTGTGTGTGTGCTTTGGCTGTTTTGGACACTCAATTGTGTGCTTTGGCTGTTTTGGACACTCAATTTCGAAATCTTGAAATCTTTTCCTTACGAAGCCGAGGGTGTTTGAAGGATTTCGAAATGCGCGCAAAACGACGCGCGCGTGCGCACTTCGTCTCATTTTGTGCAAGGGACGATTGGTAACTTATGAGATTTGATGAAGGAGTGCGCGCGCATGGTGCGCTTTGCAAACGATACCGGTTGGGGTGGGGTAGTACGAATTCATATTTAGGATGGACCACGGGGCAGAATCGCACGTACATTGCAATGCGAAGCGGAAGGGTGATACTCCCAGGGGAAGGATCACATCAATTTTCGTTTTAGAAAAGGAGAATCTACGTGGTGCAAGTCCAATGTGAAACTAGCAGTTATCAAGCCCACTGCTCGCGCAATCATCCCACCCACCCACCCGCAACAGCATTCTCAAAATCCATGCGGCAGCGATTGCGATGGCTGCTCGGCGTTGGCTGGTGCATCTCTGCGGCCGCGCTAGCCCGCGCATGCTCGCGCGCACAACGGCCAGCTAGACTGGCGGGATCGGCGCGGCCGTGGTGGCGCGCCCTGACCGCTGGGCCCTTCCCACTGGGCATTTTTGCGCGACTCGGTGACTTGGGCGGGCGCAGTATCATGGCGAGGCCGACAACAGTAGGCACGATGATGATAATAGCGATGATGGTGACGATGACGGCAATGACGGCGGCAAAGCCAATGACGGCGCCGATGCTGATCACGCCCGCCAGTGAAAGATTGGAAGGAAATCGACATATGCGCGCGCGGCCTACGCGCGCGAGCGGCCCGCATGGAACTATTTGACAGGGATCGTGCCCCCCCCAGCACGCGCGCAAAAACGCTCGAATGATTACGACATGCGGCGCGAGAGGCCTGTTCGGCCCAATCTTAATTCAATTTTGGAAACCTATGATTTTCATATTCTCGCAAGAGCGCGAGCGCAAGCTTCGTGTTGAGAACTGACGTTGCCGACGTTGCCCAACATCTTCCTTTTTTGAACGAAAATAGTATGTCTGACGCTCGATGTTGACATCCTTACGAAAACAAACGTGGCATTAGCGCGCGACGACGCGAGCGTGTGCACTTAGCTCTGCCTGTTGCAAGGGAGGCTTGCGACAGCACGCGCACAAGGGCGTTCGAACGATATTGGCATGTGCGCGGGAAATTCACGTTTGGCAGCAGTTGGTGCACATATGGGAAAACGCATGGTATGCTTATGACTTCGCAAGAACGCGAGCGCAGGCTTCTTTGAACACTCCTGCGGCGAAATCATAGGTTTTGCATATGTGTTCAGGACACTCGATTCCGAACTCGTGAGGAACCGGCGGTTTCGAAGCCTTCAGGCATGCGCGCGTGACGGCGCGCGCGCGCGTGTGAATTTCAGTTTTTGCAAGAGATGCCGAACACTTGTGATTGTTGGTGATCGAGTGCGCGCATAGTTTGTTGCAGATGATGAGGGAAGGGGCCATCAGCATTTCCCTGTGATGGTATGAACTCGTGTGTGGAATGGACGATGGGGCAGAGTCAGACGTACATAGCAATGCGAAAAATGTGATCCGTTGAATACTAGGGGAGGGGCGGGAACTAGATCCTAATATTCGTTCAAATCGAAGAATCTATGCGATGCGGCGACGGCGGCGCGGAACCGCGACGGCGACAACGTAGCCCCCAGACCGACGGATAGGCCCAGACGATGGGCGGCGACGAGGCAGCGACGAAATGGCGACGGCGACGGCGACAACATAGCCGCCCGACCGACACACGGGCCCAGTCCCTTGGAAAAGATGTAAGAACCCCTGGGTGCCAGCACTGCTTGGGCGGAGTGGAGCACGTCGCGGCGGGGGTGCGCTGCGATCGTCGTAGTACTTCGCCCGCCAGCACCAGCATGTTCGAGGGGTCCAGGTCCCCCCTCCTACGTATGATCGTGACTGTTACTTTGGAGTGGGGGTGACCCAGGTAGTGACCCTTACTTGCCAGAAGATCAAACATCAATCTCGAGATCACGCTGTCAGAGCACACCCGGCTTTCGCAACTTGCGGATGATGGGACCGATCGGGTCGGCACGCATCCTGGGGAAGACGAAGGGCGAGGGGGACTCCCGCCACGCGCAGGGAGCGGCTGCTCTCGACACCGTGCCCACACTTCTGCCGAGCCAAAAAGCAAATCACGACGAAACATACCGAAATCAAATACCGAGGCTCGTGGATCGGATCCATTCCAGCCCGCGAAACAGGAAACACATCGAATATCGAGGTTCGAGGCTCGGTTCCTCTCTCTATCCGACGCCTTGGGACCACCATACGAGGGCCGCAACATCTGGAAGCGCAGTATCGGTCCATCTCCATCGCGGCCCGGCTGGGGCCTCAGCGTACAAAGCTCCAGGGAGGAAGCGTTGGACCAACGTGCCGATGACCAATTACCCTTCTCATCCTGCTCCCCCTTCCCTTCCCGCGCGTTCCACCCGATCCGAAACTTGGCACTTCGAGCCGCGGGCTGCTCGTTGTCGTCCTCGAAGCAGACAGTGTCCATGGACAAATAAGGCATCATGCGGTCGATGCATGCCTCTCGCTGTGGCCTGCAGCGGGCGGGGGATGGGATCCTGGAGAAGGGGGGAGGAGAGAAGGGGTGGAATAATCGATTGCAAATGTAAGCTTGAGCCGTTTTTTTTTGGGGGGGGGGGGGGGGGCAGCAGCAGCAGCAGCAACACTGGACACCCCATGAGCGCGGGACACCTGCTCAGCACGAAGCCCTGGTAGCCCACTTCCACTCCTTCTTCCTCGCCCCGTTTCTGGTTCTCCTCGCCGTCCTCCCTTTCCTCCCCTCGCCACCCCTCTCCTCCACCACCTCGTCCGCCTGCCAGGACGTGGGCAGCAGCACGCACCCTCCCAACCTTTCTGGGCCAGTGACATTCGGTGGCGCCGACCGCCCCGCTGTCTACGAACCTCGTCTCCATGACGGAAAAAACACACTGTGCGAAAAAAACACACTGTGGGAAAACACACACACACACACACACAACAAAAACACACACAGAGTGGGAAAAACGCACACACACACACTGTGTGTGTTTTTGTTGTCCCACTGTGTGTGTGTTCTTTTTCCACATGTGTGTGTGTGTTTCCCACATGTGTGCGTTTTTCCCCACAGTGTGTGTTGTTTTCCCACAGTGTCTGTTTTGTGTGTTTTGTGTGTGTGTGTGTTTTCCCACAGCGTGTGTGTTTTTTCCCACAGGCGCGCACCCCGGCGCGAAGAGGTCGGTGCCGGTGACCGCGACGTGTGCCGAGCCGCTCCGGGGGAGGGGGCGCGGCAGAAGCGGCGGCGCGGCCCGAGCGCCTCCGAGACCGCAGGCGGCGTGCGCCGACGGGACATCCAAAGAATGAAGGGGCCCCAGGACACACAAATAAATACACATAAACGAAAATATTCCACAGATTTCCCCATATTTTCTGGGTTTTTGTCTTCCCCCCACTTCCCATATTTACCTAACAGCGAAGACTGATAGGTTTCTAATGGTCTCAAAAGAAAGCATCATGACTCCCCAGGGGGGTCCAGGCAGGATCCGGGGAGAATCCGCGGAAGTCGTTTTAAGCAAACGTGGTCTTCGAGGTCCCAGAACTCAATCCCCGGGCCGCATTTTGAATGCCCGGAGCCAACTGTAGGCCACTTCGTGCTCTTCGAGTTCCCAGAACTCCATTCCCGGGCCACATTTTGAATGCCCGGAGCCAACTGTAGGCCACTTCGGGCTCTTCGAGTTCCCAGAACTCCATTCCCGGGCCACATTTTGAATGCCCGGAGCCAACTGTAGGCCACTTCGGGCTCTTCGAGTTCCCAGAACTCCACTCCCGGGCCACATTTTGAATGCCCGGAGCCAACTGTAGGCCACTTCGTGTTCTTCGAGTTCCCAGAACTCCATTCCCGGGCCACATTTTGAATGCTGAGGCAAGCTGATGCTGAGGCTGAGGCAGGCTGAGGCTGAGGCCGAGGCTGAAGGCAGACTGAGGCTGAGGCTGAAGCAGGCTGAGGCTGAGGCTGAGGCAGGCTGAGGCTGAGGCTGAGGCAGGCTGATGCTGAGGCAGGCTGAGGCTGAGGCTGAGGCTGAGGCTGAGGCTGAGGCTGAGGCCGAGGCTGAAGGCAGACTGAGGCTGAGGCTGAAGCAGGCTGAGGCTGAGGCTGAGGCAGGCTGAGGCTGAGGCTGAGGCTGAGGCTGAGGCTGAGGCTGAGGCTGAGGCAGGCTGAGGCTGAGGCTGAGGCAGGCTGAGGCTGAGGCAGGCTGAGGCTGAGGCTGAGGCTGAGGCTGAGGCTGAGGCTGAGGCAGGCTGAGGCTGAGGCTGAGGCAGGCTGAGGCTGAGGCTGAGGCTGATGCAGGCTGAGGCTGAGGCAGGCTGAGGCTGAGGCCGAGGCTGAAGGCAGACTGAGGCTGAGGCTGAGGCTGAGGCAGGCTGAGGCTGAGGCAGGCTGAGGCTGAGGCAGGCTGAAGGCTGAGGCTGAGGCTGAGGCTGAGGCAGGCTGAGGCTGAGGCAGAGGCAGGCTGAGGCTGAGGCTGAGGCTGAGGCTGAGGCTGAGGCAGGCTGAGGCTGAGGCTGAGGCTGAGGCTGCAGGCTGAGGCTGAGCAGGCTGAGGCTGAGGCCGAGGCTGAAGGCAGACTGAGGCTGAGGCTGAGGCTGAGCAGCAGGCTGAGGCTGAGGCTGAGGCAGGCTGAGGCTGAGGCTGAGGCAGGCTGAGGCTGAGGCTGAGGCTGAGGCTGCAGGCTGAGGCTGAGGCAGGCTGAGGCTGAGGCCGAGGCTGAAGGCAGACTGAGGCTGAGGCTGAAGCAGGCTGAGGCTGAGGCTGAGGCAGGCTGAGGCTGAGGCTGAGGCAGGCTGATGCTGAGGCAGGCTGAGGCTGAGGCTGAGGCTGATGCAGGCTGAGGCTGAGGCAGGCTGAGGCTGAGGCCGAGGCTGAAGGCAGACTGAGGCTGAGGCTGAAGCAGGCTGAGGCTGAGGCTGAGGCAGGCTGAGGCTGAGGCTGAGGCAGGCTGATGCTGAGGCAGGCTGAGGCTGAGGCTGAGGCTGATGCAGGCTGAGGCTGAGGCAGGCTGAGGCTGAGGCCGAGGCTGAAGGCAGACTGATGCTGAGGCTGAAGCAGGCTGAGGCTGAGGCTGAGGCAGGCTGAGGCTGAGGCAGGCTGAGGCTGAGGCTGAGGCAGGCTGAGGCTGAGGCTGTGACTGCGACTGCCGTTGCCAGTGCGACTGTCGTCGCGAATGCGACTACGACTGCGAGAAACGCAGAATCCCACCAGCCCTTTAGGGCGTAGGTGGTCTAGAGAGTTTCCTCTGCCAACCCCCCTTCTTTCCCTTCGGGGAGGGGTTTACCCCTCCCCTTACCCCTCCCCACTGACCTGGACGGGGCGTTCCGCGACGCGTTGGGACGCCCAAGATGGCCCAAGACTGCTCCAAGAGCGAAAAGGCGAGAAAACACAAAACATTGATTTTCCTTAGGTTTTGGAAGGGTTTTGGCCTCTTGGGGGGGCCCAAGGGCGATCCGAGGCACTCTAGAGGGGCGAGCCTAATTGAGGCTCCCCCCTTCTTTGATAGATCTCCCCCAAGATGGCCCCAAGTGCGCCCCGAAGGCTCCCAAGAGCGCCCCAAGAGCGCCCCAAGAGCGCCCCAAGAGACCCCAAGAGGCCCCCAAGAAGCCTCTAAGAGGCTGCCAAGAGACCCCCAAGAGGCCCCAAGAGAGTCCAAGATGGCCCAAGACGGCTCCAAGAGCGAAAAGGCGAGAAAGCAAAAAACATTGATTTTACCTAGGTTTTGGAAGGAGTTTGGCCTCTTGGGGGGCCCAAGAGGCGACTCGAGGCACTCTAGAGGGGCAGCGCTAATATACGACCCTCCCTTCTTTGATCGATCTCCTCCAAGATGGCCCCAAGAGCGCCCCGAAGGCTCCCAAGAGCGCCCCAAGAGCGCCCCAAGAGCGCCCCAAGAGGGCCCCAAGAGGCCCCAAGAGGCCCCCAAGATGCCCCCAAGAGGCTCCCAAGAGACCCCCAAGAGGCCCCAAGATGCTCCCAAGATGGCCCAAGACGGCTCCAAGAGCGAAAAGGCGAGAAAGCAAAAAACATTGATTTTCCTTAGGTTTTGGACGGATTTTGGCCTCTAGGAAGGCCCAAGAGGCGATTCGAGGCACTCTAGAGGGGCAACGCTAATAAGCAACCCCCCCTTCTTGATAGATCTCCTCCAAGATGGCCCCAAGAGCGCCCCGAAGGCTCCCAAGAGCGCCCCAAGAGCGCCCCAAGAGGGCCCCAAGAGGCCCCAAGAGGCCCCCAAGAGGCCTCCAAGAGGCCTCCAAGAGACTCCCAAAAGGACACAAGAAGCTCCCCGAGATACGCAAGAGGCCCCCGGGACCGCCAAGAGGCCCCAAAGACGGCCCAAGAGGCCCCCAAGCTCGCCATTGTCCTCCTCCTCCTCCTCTTTTTCTCCCTCCTCCCTCCTCCCCCTCCCCCTCCTCCTCCTCCTCCTTCTCCTCCTCCTCCTCCTCCTTCTCGTCCTCCTCGTCCTCGCCCTCCTCCATCTCCTCCTCCTCATCTTCCTCCTCCTCCTCTCCTCCTCCTGCTCCTCGTCTTCCTCCTCCTACTCCGACGACGACGACTCCTCCTACATCCTCCCCCTCTTGGAACGTATGGCGGCTTAACCCGCGTCTTAACCCGCTCTTTGTTCTTCTGCATGCTCCCCCGCTTCCCTCATCACCTCCACTCCTCTGGGGCTCATTTCTGGACGGGCTGGTGGGGATACGCGAAGCGTCTAGAATTCTACAACTGGCTTCTCATCTGAATCTTAAGGGGAATGCTTCCAGATATGCTCCTACACATCGCTGTTAGGTTGCTTTGCAGGAATAATTTCCCATATTTTCTGGGGAATCGATGATTAATTGTGTCTGTGTGTTTTGTCTCTCCTGAAAGATCTCCTCCTGTTACTGTTCCCCCTCTGCGGAGCGGGGCGAATCTGACGACCTACCATACCAACCCAACCCAGCCCGAAGACCCGAATTTCGGGTCCGGGGGGGGGGTAGGGGTTCCATCCAGGGTTTCGTCAATGTTCCCCGACGCCCCCCCGCCGCTGGGAATGGAGGGCGAATTGGGGCCTTCGGATTGGGCTGGGGTGGTTTGGTGGGTGGGGCGAATCGAGGAAGCGGCAGCTCATATCGATCCCTGGACCCCTTCTGAAGATCTACACTCACCAGCTTCCCGAGCTGTGTCCAGCTGCGGCGACGAGGGGGCCCCCTGAAGGCCAACTGCTGCTGTCTCAACTGACCCTCCTCGGACCGCTTCCTCCTCTGACGCGGCTCCAGGACGAGGTGCGCCTGGGCGGTCGCTGGCAGGCTGGCGAACGCTCTGGCAACATAGCATATGACCACCGCGGTTCTGCCAGCGACTCGGCCTGGGCCGAGGGGCCGTCCGACGCTGGACTGGACGCTGGACTGGACGCCGTCGGTCCACCTTTCCGTCAATGCTGGACTGGACGATCACGGAGACTTCCTCCTCCCGGCTTCCACTCTCGGCAGCCCGCCGGGGGGGGGGAAGGAAGAGGCGGGTCGGCCTTGCCAGAGGGCGGCGGCGGGGACCTCTCAAAAGAACCACCCGCCTCCTGAGAAGCCGTCAGAAGGCGGGGGGGGGCTTTCTGAGAAGCCCCCCCTGCCTTCGGAGAGAAAACCTGGGGGAACCAAGAGATCAGCACCGATACCGCCACTGCCCAGACCTCTCCTGGGGGGAATGATGACGGATTGCAAAAAAAATGCAAAAACCAAAAAACGCAACAAAAACAAAAAAACAATGATATGTTTGTTGTTTGTTTGTTGTTTGCAGTCCTTTTTTTTGCAAGCCGAAGTGCGAGGCGCGAGTCCCGCCGCGGCGACGAAGGTCTCCCGGGAGACGCCCCCAAACAGGGAGCACGAGGCCAAGGGCGACGGCAGCGGCACCTTGTCCTAAGCCGAACACGCGCCCAATAGGAATACTACTCTCCTCCCACTCCCCGCCCTGAGGATGTCCCCTCCGCCTTCTGAGAAAACCTGGGGGAACCAAGAGATGAGCACCGATACCGCTACTTCCCATACCGCTCCTGGGGGGAATGATGGCCAGAATTCCGAGACGAGTCCAGCAGGGGCGACGAAGGCCTCCCAGGAGGCCCCCAAACAGGGAGAACGAGGCAAGGGCGACGGCATCGGCACCCTTTCCTAGTCCGAGCACGCGCCCAACAGGAACACGACTCCAGATTTCGTAATCAAAGGGAGGGGGGTCTCATTTCGGGGGGGGGTCTCATCCAGGCTATCTTGGAGGGCCTGGGGAGGTCTGGGCACGACGTTTTGGAGGGTTCTCCCACGGGGGGGGGTCTGAAATGGCTTGTCTTGGAGGGTCCAGACCCCCTCCCTTTTATTACGAAATCTGGAGTACTCTCCTCCCACTCCCCGCCCTGAGGATGTCCCACCACCCCCGCTTGTCATTTTTTATTGCGCATAGAATTGGACCCGTGTGATTCTCTTCTGGCGTCTGACAGCCCGACCGTGAACGTGCCCTTCTTCGGCCTTTCGACCTTGGGCGGAAAAACGGGGGGAGGGGATGGGTCTGGCTCCAGACCTCTGCTTAATGCGACTGTTCGCAACAGTGCGCCCTATTGGGGAGAGACTCCACCTGCTTGAAACAGGCGCCAAAAACAGCTACGATCTACTCCATGGGGGGGAGGGGCGGATGCGAGGGCCCGCGCCGATCGGCAAAACAATGAATCAAAAACGATCGCATTGTCTTCTGTGTTTCAAACTGGTCCTCCCGCGGCAGCGCGGCCCTCATGCTCGGATCGGCGCTGTGCTCCCGTCGCTCAGGACGGCACTCTCGCCCTGCGCACGGGCCATGCTTCTAGATCCCATGTTCCATCGATGTCGCCACCCTCGTTTCCCCTCCGCCGCCTTCCCCTGGTCATCCTGTTCCTCCAGCTCCTTCCACTCCTACTCCCGACGGTGCCGCTCGTCCTCGTGCTCCTCACTCCTGATCCAAATCCTGTTCCTCCTGCTTATCCTCCTGCTCTTCCGCCACCTCCTCCTCTAATGTATGCAGCTCCCTTTTTCCGTGATTGCGCAATATGCGGTGAGGTTTCTTTTGAAGTTCCAGGTCCGCTATTACGCGCGTCGGTGGATAGAGACAAGACTGCGCAATGGGAAGGGATGGGTGAGAGGGGTAGGATATCAGATCCCCGCGCGGCGCCCCCGCCGAGCAGTAACCTTCCAGCTGTCCCCGTCGAAGCGCGCGAGCGGTGGGAATCCGTCTGTTACAACTTCGGGGGTGTCACGTCGCGCTCGTCGAATTCACATCAGATCCACGTTAATCTCGTCAAATCCAGATCGAATCCGCGTCGAATCCGCGCCGAACACACGTCGAGTCCGCATGAAACCCGCGTCGGGCACAAGACACACAATGTATCTTGAGAACAGACAGAGTCCCCCGAAGATGCAACGTAAGATGAGCGCCCCGCCCCAGCAGAGACACCCTGCTGACTGGAAACGACGCTAACTTCGGGTGTGTTCGGCGGCCCCACGGCAGGCATCAGAGTGCTCGAAAGGTTGCCAGCGGAACCTGGATGCTTCCAACAGGGTTTCGCCCGTTTTGGGATGATCGTCGTCGTTGTCGCGGTCGCCCTCCGCCGCCCCATCTTCCTCCTCCACGCTCCCTTTTTCCCCTTCCCAAAAGAGTGCACCTCTCGGGCTGGAGGTGTCCCGCGCGGCGTGACGCCATGCTACGGCCGAGCGTGGGATAGGAGGCGCCCTTCCTCGGTGCAACCAGGAGTCTTGCAAACGAGGGACCAAAACAAGAAAGGGGGCCCCTCAACCCTTAAACAAACCCTTCGGATAACAAGTGACACGGGAAAGCGGTTCAGATAGATTGGGACCTGGCCCGCCCATGCAATACGACGTTCGAGAAGGAAGCCTTCGATTATTGAAGTGGGATCTGAGTACCAAGCACCTGCTCTCAGATGACAATCACTAATCTCAAAAGAGGCTGAGGTCTCTGGACGGCCCGGGGAGAACACAATGGAGCACCGATCGCTTCCCGAACTACCAATGTGATGTGTCACGAATGGGGCTTTTTGCCGGGAGCTGCTTCCTGAAGCCTCACGACAGGAGAAACGCGGCCTGACCAGGTCCACCGCCGTGCAGCCCAACGTCGTCATCGGCATTTCCAGGGGCTGCAAATATTCTCCCTGCGAACGCCACTCCTGCCGCAAAGGAGGGCCGCCGATCAAGAACCCGTATTGGTACGCACCCCAGCCTCAACGGGAATCCCGACCCATCATTAAGCCCTTACCCCGAATGACATCGGAAAGAGACCTCAAGCAGTGGCCTGTTGTTTTGTGTAGCGCGAGTGTTAGTGAAAACGCTGATGACTTTGGTGAGCAACGAGCAGATGCCAAACGCAAGTGGGTATACATGCTTTCTAGATGCGCGTGCTTGCTTGCTTCCTCTGCGTAATCATCATGTCTTTGTCTTGCTCGCGACGCTTCGGTTCCACCTCGCGGTTTCCGCGCGTGCATGTGGATTCCTCTACGTAGATGCGAGCCGTTGGCGGCAATTCGATGCACAGGCATTTGAACATCTCCCTCTCTCGCCCTCTATATGTTGCTCTTACACACGTGTATGCATTACACAACAGTGCACTCGTAAACCATGCTCAAAAACTATGTGATCCAAAACCGATTCCTTCCATTTCGCACTATGCTGTGTTCTCTGCGCTCTGCCCCGTGACCCCCGCTTTCTGCTGACAACTCTCTGCGCTGGGCTCTCGACTTTTCGCCCACCGCTGCACTCTCCTTTCTTCCTCTGCCCAGTGCTCCCTACAGTCAGTGGACTACTGTTGGTAATAGAATTGGGATGAGCATTGTATATCGGGCAGATGGTTGGGCCCAGCATCATGTTGTCAACCTCGCTATATCCGCAGCCGCCTTGGCTCAAGTGGCGCGCTTTCAGAGCGAGCCATCGCGTCGGCTCCAACAAAACAGCCAAAGTGAGATGCAGTCGGGAATCTTCGGACCCTGGCGGGCGAGGTCGGAGTCGAGACTGGCAATCGCAAGGTGGCTGAGCCCCGGAGCGTGGATGAGAGGATCCACGGGGGGGGCGGGTCCTGGTAGCTTTGTGGCCGCATCCCAGCACGCGCCGATTTTGACACAGATCGCGTTTCCCCAAACTCTGGTCTGAGTCAGACTGGAGAGGGTTTCCTCCTACAGTTTGAAGCTGATGGAAACACGCAAACGTCGACGGCGACGACGGAGACTACCGAAGACGACGGATGACGACGAGGACGACGACGGCAATGACCGTCGGACAGACTCAGGACGACGATCGACGAAGGACGATTAGCGACAACGACGAACCACGGCGACGGCTGGTCGGTCGGTCGGTCGGCCGGTGGTTGTTGCCGTCGTCGTAGTCTGTCGTTCGTCGCAGTCCGTCGACGTCGTCATCGTCGTCGTCGATCGCTCGGTCTGCCAGTCGGTCGATCGTCGTCGTCGATCCTCGGTCGGTCGGTCGCTCTGTCGTCGTCGTCGTTCGTGGTCGTCGTCGTCGGTCGCTCGGTCGCTCGGCCGCTGGGTCGCTCGGTCATTCGTTCGGTCGGTCGGTCGGTCCTGGTCGCTGTCGCTGTCATTCGTCGGCCGTCGCCGTCAGTCGTCGGTCGTTCGGTCGGTCGGTTGGCCAGTCGGCCAGGCGGTCGGGCGGATTCAACGGCTGTCGCATGAGTGGGCAGCTAGAGCGAGCCTCGCCTTCACCACGGCCTAAACTAGATATAGTCAGTACATACGCAGGACGAGAGACCTGCCTCTCGAGGTGGAAGCGGTGATGAGGAGTTCGGGAGACAACATCGGCGCCGCCGGACGTACGGCGTCTGGGCGAGGTGTGTGCAGCAACCAGGAGGGGAGATAGACATTCTTATTGAACGGGGCCCGAGCGCCGAGTTTATGGGAGTGCCCGAGACAACGCAGAACCCGTCCTGGGAAGTTGATAACCAAACCCCCTCCCACGTAGAATCTTAACACGGGTGGGTTGCGGTTGCGGGGTCCGCGGATCCGATGTCTTCTGGTTCCCCGTTTAAAAATAATAGTATAAACTGAAAACGGCGTAGAGATCGGATCCGTGTGAACAAAAAGACGGACATCAGATGCGCAACATCCGACATCGGATCCGTGCGGGCGGAAATCGGATCCACCGAAGCACAAACCAAAACCAACATTGGACCTGCAAACAGAATTGGATCCGACGGCGGATATCTCACACGCGTCGGCACCAGACCTTAGACCGTCGTTCGGGGCCCAAGAGGAAAAAACGTTCGCCCTGGGAATGTAGACGGACAAACTTCGTCAAACGTTTCACTAGCAAGGTAATCCACTGACTGTACTCTCTGACCTCCCCCCTTCCCCTTAATCATTTACGCTCGACTCTCGGCCCTGCTCTTTGATTCCGTGCCCGATCTGCTCCCATGATACCACCACCCTCCGCGCTTCCCCCTGGGTATGGGCTTCTACTGGATGCTCCTGCCCATTTCTCTCCACATGCTATCCTTGCGCATGTGTTGCTTTTGATATTCGATCCCTCCGACTTCAGCTACCCACTGTCCAACGAATACTCTCTCTCTCTCTCGATCCTCTAATCTCCCTGCTCTCTGCCTTCCACGCCCTGCTCCTAATGGTGTGCACTCGCATGTGTGCTCGTGCACCCCTGCTCCTTGAACTCTGCCCTCAAGCCTTTACTCTGGACATTGCGCTCTCTCCTACGTCATGCACGTTCCACGCGCTCTGCGCCCCCCCGGCTCTCCACTGGGGGCCCCTGAGATCCCAAAACCAGGAACCTGGCCGCCTACCGAAATCTTTCCGGCACAGACAAGGGCAAGGATACCTGCGAAATTACCGATTGGGGAAAATAACGCTACTCAACGCAGCGCAAATACATTGCGAATGCGATTGCGATGCAATTCAACGCAAAGACGTACAAGCAATGATGAGGCACGACAAATGCAGCATACGTAGCGCAATCAGAGAACATATCAAAGTCAAGCGATGCAGACCAATGCACTGCACAGTTGTGTAACGCACAGCATGGCCTGGCAAGCCAGTGTCCAGAACCTCAAATCAACACTGTGCTGTAGTGGCAACTGTTTTTTCTATTGCCATTCCCATATCTACGCACCAGCTAACAATTTGTATGTTGCTCGGACTGTTTTTAGCTTGTACTTGCTCAAAGAGGACAGTCCTATATGTGGCTGTGCCAGATGGCTTTCTCGCCGTTGGATGTGTGGGGGGTGGGGCGAGTCTGCTCACAAGTGCTACCGACGTACATAACTATGTCCTTGGCCACGGCCTCGGCGGTGATCCTGCAAGGTAGCTCCAACACCGTCCTCTTCGGCGTGCGGACCACCCTGTCCTTACCGCTAACCTCAAACGGGCTCAGGGGACGGGAAAGGCAGATACACGCGACAATAGCTTACAATCCAAACTGAATCGCGCTGCTGCGGGTTAGAGGTGGGACGATGTGCGAAAGATGCTGCTTCCTGCCAGTGCATGTTCACAATTACTACCATGCTGTCGCAAATTCTTTCATCTCCTCGTCGATAGTGTACAGATATCCGACTGTCGTGTGCTCCTCACCTGATTTGGTAGCTTTTCAGCCGCTTTCCAAAACACTGCGTGGGAGTAGACATGCCGACATGTGACATGTCACTACGGCCAGCTTCTATCCACTGCGAGCTGCATGATCACCCCTTCTGGCGGTTGCGGCCCATCAGGAGACATGTGTAGCCCCCGGTGCACGATGGGTTACACAACGAGCCCAGCACATTCTCTATCCCTGCCATTGCGCATAATTTGAGGACACGGGTGGCAGATGACCCCTCCGGAGACGGGAAGCGCGTCCTGCTTCTCGAGCGGCCACAGCTCTGAATCCAGCCGTGCCGAACCTCCATACGATGCGCTCCCCTCGGAAAACTGCCCCCAGACGTGTCCGGGAACGCGCTTCGACCAGGACCTCAAGGGAATCCAGTCGTGGCGACCAGATGCCTCACTGGAGGCCCTAGGCAAGACGCCCAAGGACACCACACCCCGACATGGCGTTCTTGTCTACAACGTAGACCCCCAAAGTCCTGACTGTCTCCCCAATGCCAGCTCTCACCCCAGCTCGCGAAACGGTCCCAGGGTCCCATAAAGACCCCGAGGGGCCAATTATCCCCTACAAAGGCTTCTGGAGTGGATCCGTCGCAGCGGGAGGAGGTGGGGAGACCTGGCAGAACCGTCCTCCCGCAGATCAGTGGCCAGGAGCCCCTCCCGCCCCGAAGGCCTGGAGAAACACCTGCCACGTGCCGCCCTCGCCGAGCCCCGCAGATGCCCCGTCGTAGAACCGCTTCATCTGCTTCGGGCTCTGCGCCGTCACCTGCCGCTGGCCAGGGGTCGCCGCGCGCGCCAGGGCGTGGCCGCAAGACGCGGGAGGCGGGCGGACCTCGAGCAGGCAGCCGCTTGTTGCGAGGTGGGGTTTGTTCATAACCACCGCCTGTGGGACTGGAGAGAACTCGGCAGGCGGTGGACACAGACAGACTCGGCCCACCCATGGTCCGGATGTGTCCATGTCCACCGCTTGCCGGGGCCCCCGAAGATCGCCTCCCCAGCCAGTGGTGATGGATAGATCCTCGCCTCTGATTGTCGGCCGTTCGTTATGGGGGGGGGGCAAGAGACGGGGGGTGAAGAAACGTACACCTTCCGTGCGCCTGTTAGGCCCGCGGTGGCGATTCACAGGCGGCCATTTGGGCTCCTTTAGGGCCACTTTCCTGCCATCCTCGATTCCCCACGTTTGCTGCCCCCCGCTACCGTCCGCTCGCGATTGATGTCCAGGAAGCAGGCACCACAGCCGACCTCTGCAGGAGGGAGGCCCGAGCACAGACTTGTACACCCCAGCGGCCGAGTGACGCTTCTGCAACGAGAGCTACGGCGGGGCAGCATCAGCGCCAATCCCGCCTGACTCTGCAGGTGGGAGGGCTGCGCAAGGCGGCTCACGTATTGGCATCCACGCTCGAAATGCCGCCCTGCAGGCCGCAGGGGACCAAGCGCCTCAAAGAACGGTGCAGCCCACGTGCATGCAACTCTCGCCCTGCCGGGTCGCATTATGTGGCTCGTGCCGAGAACTCTGGATCCACAAAAGGTTGCTTCCCTCAGAGGACCGATTTTTACTCCCACAAGCTTCCGCCAGCGGATGCGGCCTCGTTTTACCTTCGCCTGTTTCCGCCCGTCTGCCGAGGAAGAGGTGCCAACTCCTTCGGTTCTCGAAGCCGAGGCCCATTCTAGGCCACATCATGCGCATCCAGCTTCCTGGAAGGGCATCCAAGCATGGGCGGAGTTGGCACGCGCGGCGCGACCCGACGTCAAGCGAGGCTCAAACGGGCAATGCATGCAGTCATTGCGCAAACCGCAACTTCTTGCTCAAGATCGGTCCCAGAATCCCCGCTCGGGAGCCTTCCGAATCAGAGTTTGGGAGCTGCGCCTGGCGGTGTCCAGCGGCCAGAAGTAAATGCTGAAGGGCGATGTCAGACGTGGCACACACACACACGACGAGCGGATACACGAACGCTGCTAGTGATGTGCTGCTCCCCCAGCAGCTGTCCCATAGAGGCGGGTGCGTGCGAACCAAAACCCACCACATCGACGTATCGCATGCGACAGCTCGCGACCCGAACCAACACATCGCGTCATTGGATGCGAGACTACATGTCCAAGACATGACTGCTCAGCAGCGCCACAAAGCTGGGACTGGCCACAGCAGAGGGATAGACATAACGAATGATATACGCAGGTGGGAGAATGAGAGAGAGAGAGAGAAAGAGTGAGAGAGAGGAGAAATATATGGAATCAGGCAGAGAGAGAAAGAGAGAGCACGATAGGGACAAAGAGACACAGAGAGAGAAATAAACAAAGAGCGACAGAAAGAGAGAGAGAGAGAGAGAGACAAAAAAGATAGGGATAGACCGAGATCACGAATGAGTAAGTGAGAGAGGAGAATCAGAAACAGAGATGGGTAGGTACACCTCACATGGGAACGCATTTACGGGTACACATGAATGTTTACGTGTGTTTAGGTAGAGTGAAAAAGAAACATAGTGCGATAATGGGGAGGATACGTGTAGCTGCCGAACGAGAGATGCAACGATACACGTATGCATGTGTGCATATGTACCTCATGAGGGATCGGCAGAAACAAACAAACCATACATGGCGAAAACTGTACATACACACGTAGGTATACATGTACATAAAATTACCGAGGTATTGGCAGCACTAGGGATACATAAAGAGAAACAAGAGAACGCGGCAGAAACAGGGAAGAGGGGCAACACACAAAGGCTGAAACCGATCTACGTGTGTAAGAACATATGTATGAATATGCTCGTCACCTGTCTACATGCTATCTCATTATGTATGTATATATATGTATATGTATATATATATATATATATATATATATCAACCAGTGTTTGCACTAAAGGGACCTTATTTTGTTCTAAGGGGCTGGGCCTGCGTGCCGCTCTGGCGGTTATGTTGCTGCCGTCGCCGCCCCGTCGCCGCCGCGTGGCCGCCTGCCGTCTGGGCGTGTCCGCCGGTCTGGCGGCTACGTTGCCGCCGTCGCCTCGCTTCGTCGCCGCCAGTCGTGTGGGCCTGTCTGCCGGTCTGGCGGCACCGTCGCAGCCTCATCGCAGTGCACCACACATTATTTTCCTGTCTAACAAAAACTTAAGATCTCCCGCCCCCTCCCCGGGGTTAACCGGCCACCTTTTCTGATTGCAATGTACAAGCGACTCTGCCCCATCGCCCAGTCTGAAAATGAGCCCGTACCATCCCAGGCAGGCCGGTATTGACCTCCCCTCATCCCCTGCCAAAAATACTGTGCGCGCGCACTCGTTTATCACAAACCATCGACTTCCAACCGTCCTTTTGCAAAAAAACGAAGTGCGCACGTGCGCGTTGTTGCGCGCGTGGCGAAATCCTTCAAAAACCTTACGTCTCGTATAAACGGTTCAATCGAGCGTCACGGAAACATTTGCAACAACACATGGTTTCGCAAAGAAGGTCTTCAAACAAAATGCACCCGCGTTTTCGCGAATCCTTGCATTCTTAAGAATACCATCGGTGTTTCAGCATTTGCATACAATGATACCACAAGGGCCACTCGCGCGCGCATGTCGAAATAGTTTGAACGCCCTTGCGCGTGCTGTAGCGAGATCCCCTTGCAACGAACTAGACGATGTGCACGCGCGCGCGCGCGCGTCGTCGCGCGGTGCTGGATGCCGCTAAATAGTATTAGGTGTCCCACGGAATTCAAAAACGAATGCTCCGAAACATATCAAAACACATGGTTTTGTAACATCACTTGTGAAAAAAAGGGCCCACAAACACACACACACATAAATACACAACAAAAAGCCATGTTCCCATATGTTCCTACATTTTCTGGGTTTCTGTCTTCCCCCCACTTCCCATATTTTCCCATAGTTCCAAAGGAATCGACAATTAATTGTGCCTGTGTGTTTCTTTCCCTCCTGAATTGGTCGCAGACAAAAAAGAACTGCGCTCGCGGTCGTGCGGCTTCTGAAGAAAACCAGCGGTTGTCGAGAATGTCTATCAAATTCTGCCGAGCGGGCCTCTTGCGCCTCATGTCGAACTCATTCGAACGCCCTTGCGCGCGTGCTGGAGGGGGGCGGGCGATCCGTGTCAAAAAAAACACTCGGGCCACTCGCGCTCGTCGGCCCCGCGCGCATGTCGAACTCCTTCAAAAACCACCACCGCCGACGCGAGGACATCGTCATCGTTATCGGCGCGCGTGCTCAACATCGGGGCCGTCATTGGCCTTGCCGTCGGCATATATTGCACTACGTAGGTTCTTCTGTTACTAAAAAAGAAATGAAGATCCACCACCGCCCCGCGGACAGGATGATCACCCCCCCTGGGGGTGCGCAAAGCAAATAGATGCTGGCCCATCGTTCGTTCTGACAATGACTTCTCGCCATCCCAGCCATGCCTGGTTCGACCCCTGCTCCACCTACCATCCTTTGCAAAGGCCGCTAAACGCGCACACTCGTTTATTAATAATCATCAAGTTGCAAGAACCCCTTGCGAAAAAAAAAAAAAAAAAAACAAAAAAAAAAACGGAACGAAGTGCGCGCGGGCGCGTCGTCGCGCGCGTGCCGAGCTCGATCAGCAACCGCCGGTGTTGCAAGGGTTTCAATGCCGAGTGTCCCGAGTGCGCATCAAAACCGCGCGGCGTGGACACATGATGTCATCCCAAACAAGGCGCGCGCGCTCTTGCGAAATAAGCTATTTCTCAACATTGTCAACAATTTCTACCACGCGGGCCTTTCGCGCGCGCGTGTCGAAATCATTCGACGGCTTCTGCAGGCGTGCCCGGGAGGGCGGTGGGGGGGCGCGATCCTTGTCCAATGCGACCGCGCGGGCCACTCGAGCGCGTCGGGCACGCGCGCGCGTCGGAACACTATCAAACCCGTCATCAACGACGCGAGGACATCGCCGTCAACGGCGTGATCCGCATAGGCGCCTGCATGAGTCCTGCCGTCGTCATCGCCATCATCGCCGCCAGCACCGTCATAATCACCATCGCGTCTGCCGTTGCCGACATCGCCGCGATTCCGCGCCCGACCGAGTCATCCACTCGCGCTCAGCTGGCTGCGCGTCAGCGCAGCCTGCGAGACGCCGTGGGGAACGCGCCGCCGCGGCCGCATCGGCCGCGCCGGACTCTCCGGCCGCTTTGCGCGCGAGCCTGCGCGCGCTGGCGCGGCCGCAGCCGCGCGCAGGCCAGCGCCGAGCCGCCGTCGCAATCGCCGCCGCATTGCTTTCGGACGATCGATGCGCGGGCGGACGGGTCGCATGATTGCGCGAGCAGTGGAGTTGACATGCCAAGTTCGACAAAGCGAAGTGCACCACCTAAAACGCACAACGTG